GCTGTAGATAGCAGGTATTGGCCTCCCTCATCAGAGGCTGTAGATAGCAGGTATAGGCCTCCCTCATCAGAGGCTGTAGATAGGAGGTACTGGCTCCCTCATCAGAGGCTGTAGTTAGCAGGTATTGGCCTCCCTCATCAGAGGCTGTAGATAGCAGGTATAGGCCTCCCTCATCAGAGGCTGTAGATAGGAGGTATTGGCTCCCTCATCAGAGGCTGTAGATAAGAGGTATTGGCTCCCTCATCAAAGACTGTAGATAGGAAGTATTGGCCTCCCTCATCAGAGACTGTAGATATGAGGTATTGGCCTCCCTCATCAGAGGCTTTAGATAGGAGGTATTGGCTCCCTCATCAGAGGCTGTAGATAGGAGGTATTGGCTCCCTCATCAGAGGCTGTAGATAGGAGGTATCTATAGCAGGAGAGAAGCCCAGACTGTGTGTGCTATATGTAGAGATGAGCGAATCGAACATGACGAAGTGGAATTCGTTCCGAAGATTTGGAAAAATTCTATTCGCGACGAATCCGAAGATTAGCAAACTTCGGATGCACGAATCGAATTTTCCCAAAAATGGCGGCGACGTGTGGCGACGGAGAAAATGGACAGAGAAGATGGGGCGGGGATCTCTGGGAAGGCGCGCAGACAAGGTGCGCTGACCCATAATGCATTCATGACATGTGATCGCATTAGCCAATCAGCAGCCAGCCAGCACTGTGTAATGGTGGAGCTATAAATCGCGGCCATCTTAGAATTCTCCATTAGCCTCCGGTCATTCAAGAGAGACAGACCTGTGTGTATTAAGGGACAGAGTTAGGGCCACAGAGACTTTAGGGCCACAGAATCGTTACTCAGGGACACAGAATCGTTACTCAGGGACACAGAATCGTTACTCAGGGACACAGAATCGTTGAATTAAAGAGTATGTCAGACAACATGCAGAGGAGTGGCAGAGGAGGCAATGTTTTAGGAGCGAGCAGACGTGGCAGCAGAGGAAGGGGTCGAGGCAGCACTAGTCGCAGCCAGAGGCCAGTGCTCCCGGTGTCATCCAGCGGTCGTGTCTCCACCGACAACCCTGCCGTCATCGATTGGTTGGCTCGGTCGTCTTCCTCTTCCCAGGTCACCTCTGGCACCTACAGCCAACGGTCGGTGGGTACGTCAGACACAACCGTTAGTTGGCATGGCCCGGGACCAAGCCCACTGAAATCACGTGTCCTCTACCTGCCCCTGTCCTTTGGTGTTCCCTCACCAAGCGAAGTATGGCATGCTGTGGGCTCAGCCCCACTGTACAGTGAGGAAGAGCTAACAGAGGGCGGTCAGGAACGGGGGGAGACATCCGCCTCTTCAGCAGCCAGGCGAAGAAGTACTGGCGAGGAGAGTGGCTCGGTAGCCGGTCTAGAGACAGGTCTGTCTCCTGACCCACACGCAGCCGAGGGGGCTAGTAGTGAGGCGGAGACCCTAATTGATGATGATGAGGCTGATCGCACTTGGCAGCCTCGTCGTCATCAGGCTATTGCTTCCGCATCATCAGGAGAAGAGGGTGGCAGCTTGGCAGCGAGCGAAACAGTCGGTGGGTTGCCCAGGAGGCAGCAGGGTCGCAGCAGTGTCAGTGGAGGCAAACGGCCACGGAGTACAGCACCAGCTCCACTGCAGCCTACCACCACGGCCAGTAGTGGTGCCGGTGTGCACGGAGGAAGCAGCAGTCAGCCAGTGAGGAGTATCGGGGGCAAAGTTTCCTACTCGGCGGTGTGGCAATTTTTCGTCAAGCCGCCCGAGGAAGTAAACGTAGCCGTATGTCGACTATGTGGCCAGAAAGTCAAGCGTGGCCAGGGGGCCCATGTTGGGACTACAGCGTTGCGGCAGCATATGCAGCGTCGCCATTTGGTGGCCTGGGAAAACCGTGATAAAGATACGGCGGTTCTGCCTGCCCCAGCCCCCGCTCCATCACCCGCTCCGTTACTTGCTCCGTCACCCGACGTCAATCGCCCTCTATCAGCCAGTCAAGGCTCCAACACCTCTGCTGAGGGGAGTTGTCACTCGTTGGCATCTTCCGCTCGTTCAGATGCTCCTTCTCCTGCTACTCCTCTTCACGGATTCCGTCAGCAGTCTTTCTTGGAATCCGTTTCCAAGAGACAACAGTTTGCGAGCACGCACCCGACGGTGCAAAAGCTGAACGTCCTCCTGTCCCAAGTTGCTGGTGCTGCAGTCCCTCCCTTTCCAAGTGGTGGACTCAGCACCTTTCTGAGAAATGATGGCTTGTGCCGCGCCGTGGTGCAGAGTGCCAAGCCGGCATTTCTTCTCCAAAAAGGCAGTGCCAGCCCTGCATTCACATGTAGAAGAGATGGTGGGCCAGTCTTTGAGCATGTCGGTCTCTGCCAAAGTGCACGGCAGCGCCGACGTGTGGAGCTGTAACTATGGTCAGGGACAGTACATGTCATTTACGGCCCACTGGGTGAACGTGGTGCCGTCACAGCCGCACCAGCAACTTGGACAGGTCGCTTTTTGCCTCCACGTTTGCACGTCCTTGGTCCAGCAAACATGTCCGCCTCTACCACCTCTTCTTCCGCCGTGTCCTCAGCCGCCACCCCCGTGCCAAGTCCCATTACCCGACCGGCATATCACATGTGCAGGGCGCAACGGTGTCACGCTGTTCTGCACCTGGTATGCCTTGGCGAACGTAGTCACACAGGGGAGGAACTTCTGAGTGTAATGAACAGAGAAATCGACAGATGGCTGTCTCCGCGCAAACTGAAAATCGGAACCATGTTGACCGACAACGGAAAGAACATGGTGTCTGCTCTGCGTCAAGGAAGGTTGTGCCATGCGCCATGCATGGCTCACGTGTTCAATCTGGTTGTCAAGCGGTTCCTAAAATCCACCATCCCACTGCAAGACATCCTTAAAATGTCACGTAAACTTTGCATGCATTTCAGCCATTCCTACACCGCAAAGCACACCCTCCTTGAGCTGCAGCGGCAGAACGGAATTCCACAGCATCGCCTGATCTGCGACGTTGCAACAAGGTGGAATTCAACCCTACACGTTAGACCGCCTTTACGAACAGCGAAAGGCCATCACCGATTTCCTGATGTTACAAGCGGATAAAGGTACTCCCCTGTGTAACTTAGATGTCAGCCATTGGCAGCTCATGCGTGACACCTGCCGCTTGCTCAGGCCCTTTGAGGAGGCCACGCTATTCGTGAGTCGCCAGGACTATGGGATGAACGACGTCATTCCTCTGTTGCACGTCCTGGAACAAATGCTGTTAACAATGGCTGGTCAGGGTGCGGTAGACGTGGCGCACAGATCTCAACGCCACATGACCCCTGTGGGGGCAGGACAGGAAGAAGAGGAGGAGGTAGAGGAGGACATTGGTGCTCAGGAATTATTGAGTGAAATGGGTGGTTTTTCCACTCAGCGGACAGGAGTGGAGAAGCAGGAGCATCTGGTAGAGGAGGAGGAGGAGGAGACAGAGGACCCAGACGCACCGTGGCAGTATGCTGTGGAGATGGAGGCAGGGAGTCCCTCGCATTCCTTGGCACAAATGGCCCATAGCATGCTCGGTTGCTTGCGTAGCGACAGCCGAATAATAACCATCAGACAGAGGGATGACTTTTGGCTGTCCACCTTGTTGGACCCTCGCTACCGTTCAAAAATGGTGGCCTTTTTTTCACACCTGCTGAGAGGGAGGCCAAAATAAAGTACTATAAAAACCACCTATGTAGTCAGTGGTCTCTGCCTTTCTGCGCCAACGTCCATCCTCTCAGACACTGTGGGCCCTGTGCGCTCGCGTTCCGCTGGCATGGCAGCAGGGGAGGGGTGGGGTGGTAGGAGCAGTGGCAGCTCCACCAGCAGCGGCTGCCTCAGTCTGCAGTCGATGATGAGTAGCTTTCTTCACCAGCGCAGTGAGGAAACTACTAACCAGCCGCAGCAGCAGCAGCATCAGGTGGACCTGGAGCAGGACCTCAAACAACAGGCTTGGGCCTACTTGGACAGCACCCTGCCAACCGAGGTAGACAATCCCCTTGACTACTGGGCAACGAAAAACTTGACCTTTGGCCCCAACTAGCTGAATTTGCCCTTGAAAGGCTGTCATGCCCGGCCAGTAGCGTGGCATCGGAGCGCGTGTTTAGTGCGGCAGGAGGTATTGTAACTCCGCGGAGGACACGACTGTCCACCCAAAGTGTGGAGAGACTCACGTTTGTGAAAATGAATCAGGGCGGGATTAGTCTGGATTTCAAACCACCAGTTCCTGACACAACTGACTAAATCCGCCATGAATCATGCCCCAAACATGTTATTAGGGACAAATGGAAGACCTCCACCTGATCCGTACATTTGTATATATATTTTTATTGAGAGGCTGCTGGTCGGCCGACTCATGTTTTGCACATTTTTAATGACTTATACTCTGCAGTCGGGCCCCTCATGAATTGGTGTTTTTAAATTATTTATACGTCGCTGGACGACTGTCACATGAATTTAAACTTTTTAATTATTTATAGTCGACCAGTTCCAGACCGATGGAATAGCAATTTTTTTAAATATTTATTTGACACGTGTTGTCCATCTCATCATATGTACTTATTGTCCGCTGTCCGTACAGCTCATGAATTACTTTTTGTATATAGCCTTCCAAACCACTCTCAGAATAAGTCATGATATTCATGCTGTGTATAGCCTTATAGGCCAATGGTCAATCAAGTCATGATTGTTATAGTGTGTATAGCCTTATAGGCCGCTGTCTTTACAACTTTATAATTCCATGCAGTATATAGCCCTATCGGCCACTTTCTGGCATCCAGTTGCTGTAGCCCCCATCACCACACTGTGCCACGGGCCCCTGTACCGCCTTCTCATACTGCTGCCAGATCCATCCTCTGCCATGTGCGTCTTTGTCGTCTGCTCACGCTGCTGGGTTCCAGTTTTAAACCTAGGCCTGTGTATGGCTTCCGAATACTGCTGCCTCCACCGCCACCCTGCGCCATGTGCCTCTGTCGTCTGCTCACGCTGCTGACGGCTTCCGCTTTTTAACCTAGTCCTGTGTATGTCTTCTGAATACTGCTGCCTCCACCGCCACCCTGCGCCATGTGCCACTTTCGGGTCTCCTCACACTGCTGCCAGGTCCATACTGATTCATGGCCCCCTGTACCGGCTCCTCATGAACGTGGTTCAGCGGGTTTTGCATCACTTAATGGCAAATCGTTGACAAATGCTGGGACGTTCAGTGTTGTGCGCATTAAGCCAGACACCAAAGGGCAGCACAGACCTGTTATTACTCGCTCAAGCATGGCTGAACAAAACCAGTCTCTACCACAAATTGGACCCAGACCTGCCCAGGGTCTCGTAACTAGATTGCACGGAGGAGTAGAGTCCGTTATCGGAATTAAATAGACAAAACGCCACACCAAAAAGAGTGGCCATTTCCAACACTTATTCCAGAAAGAGGAACAACCCGTTTCATATACGGCCCGTAGACGTTTCACGTCTGCCACATTCAGTCGATTTAAGACGCAAGCTCCACTTCCTGTGGTCTCTGACCGTCGATATACCTTTAAGTGTCAGCTTTGAAGCTATATTCCCTCCGGAGCACTGACACTGGTGCCCTTCCGTCAACATGCCTTTAAGTTTCAGTTTTCAACCATATTCCCCACAGAAGCCAAACTCTTGGGTATCCCAGAAGCTGCTCAGCGGGTCAGGGCAATAAAGCTCCCGGTTCGCAGGTTGTTCCGTCTTATGGATGGAAGTACGACGGTATATGATCTTCTTCGCACCCACGGCATCACCTCATAGAATCTCTGCATTGCATCTGCAATCACAACGCTGACTTCCCGGATCGCCACTCTGCCATTGGACTCTTGATAGTCGTCTCCCACACTGCTGCTGGGGGGACTTTTTTAACATAGGCCTCTGTATGGCCTTCAATTTAAGCTGCTTACGCTTCGCCACTCTGCCATGGGCCCCTGTACCGCCTCCTCTTGCTGCTGCTGCCAGGTCCAGAGTGTGTCATGGGTCCCTGTACGGCCTCCCATTGCTGCTGTCTCCATCGCCAGACTCTGCCATGTGCCACTTTCAGGTCTCCTTACACTGTTGGTGGGTTCCATTTTGTGATAGGGTGCTGTATGGCCTTCCATTGCTGCTGCCTCCACCGCCACCCTGCGCCATGTGCCTCTGTCGTCTGCTCACGCTGCTGACGGCTTCCGCTTTTTAACCGAGGCCTGTGTATGGCTTCAGAATAATGCTGCCGACACCGCCACCCTGCGCCATGTGCCTCTGTCGTCTGCTCACGCTGCTGCCAGCTCCATACTGATTCATGGCCCCCTGTACCGGCTCCTCATGAACGTGGTTCAGCGGGTTTGCATCACTTAACGGCAAATCGTTGACAAACGCTGGGACGTTCAGTGTTGTGCGCATTAAGCCAGACACCAAAGGGCAGCACAGACCTGTTATTACTCGCTCAAGCATGGCTGAACAAAACCAGTCTCTACCACAAATTGGACCCAGACCTGCCCAGGGTCTCGTAAGTAGATTGCACGGAGGAGTAGAGTTCGTTATTGGAATTAACTGTGAGGGACTTTTAAACCTAGGCCCTGTGTATGGCCTTCAATTGAAGCTGCTTCTGCTCCGCCACTCTGCCATTGGACTCTTGATAGTCGTCTCCCCACGCTGCTGCTGGGGGGACTTTTTAACATAGGCCTCTGTATGGCCTTCAATTTTAGCTGCTTACGCTCCGCCACTCTGCCATGGGCCCCTGTACCGCCTCCTCATGCTGCCCGTAATCTGCCAGGCCCGTATTGACTGCCATGGGCCAGTATTGACTCCTCATGCTGCTGCCAGGCCCGTAATCGTAATCTGTCATGGGCCCTGTACCGCCTCCTCATGCTGCTGCCAGGTCCAGAGTGTGTCATGGGTCTCTGTACGGCCTCCCATTGCTGCTGTCTCCATCGCCACACTCTGCCATGTGCCACTTTCAGGTCTCCTCACACTGCTGGTGGGTTCCATTTTGTCATAGGGTGCTGTATGGCCTCCCATTGCTGCTGCCTCCACCGCCACACTGTGGCTCCACACTCTGGTTTTGGCCCCGTGACTGCCCAAATGAGTGAAGTGTGCGGTGATTCTAAGATGGACGGCACTCATCTGCATGTCATACTGACTGACAGTATTATTTTCTCTTCCCCAGCAGACTCCAAGGGCATTTAAATTAAAGGTACAGTGTTCTGCACTAATATAAAGGCTCTCTGAAGCCTAGAAACACCCTTTTTTAAGTTAAATTCGCAGCGAATATATTCGGCTCGAAGCGAATTTATTCGGCAAATTCGGCGAATCAGCCGAACCGAATTTTTGAATAATTCGCTCATCTCTAGCTATATGTACACATCCCAGCAAGCCATGTACAACTATGAACAGAATATGTAGTCGTGGACTTCATGTGGACTTAAAGAAGAGAATCTGAGTATTGTAAAAACAACTTTATTATGTAACATTTAAAATCCATTACACAATATTAAAAATGACTCTCCACTTCGGGGTTCACAACATGCAAAGATTCCGATTATCGTTCACATATGGACATTTTGGCAATCCTACTTCAGGATCACATGTGACACAATCAGTACACTGGAACCCCTCCTAACCTTGAATGGAGTAATATCAACCAGTCGGGATAGATTGGAACTCATAGCATGTGGGCCCATACAGGTGCAAATGAGTAGTCCAAGGTGAAGCCGCGGCCTCTCGGGTGGGAAATTCAGCTACATTCAGTAAACAGCCAATGGACTTAAAATAGAGGAACCAATTTCCCAATGGGGAATCATCCCGACCCAATGCCAGTAAGTCACCATAAGGGCAGCATGGTGGTCAAGGCACGTACATTCCAGAGAGGGGGATCGTGAGAAGTATCTCAGCTAACATCAATTCAGCCTGGATGTTATCATGTCTACAACAAATCTGTGCTTTTCCTGGCACTGATAGGGTTCTTCTTATGAATTCACATTGCAAGACATGAGACTGATGAGGGAGTTGGGTTGTGCTGTCCGTGCTCCGATCTCTCTATGTTTCGGCTAGGACTACATGTATAGGAACAGCACAGGAGCCCATCAGTCTCGGTGGATATATCTGTTGTGTGTTATTAATGTTTCTGTGACAGACTCGACCAGGAGGGGGGCTTTTGGAGGGGACTGCAGGATAGCCTCTTGCCCACTATGGGCCCTGGCATCTGAGGGGGCTCTATTCTTTGAGCGGTGTGTGCCTGGGGGGACCTTTGGAGTAGTTTTACTTCGGATTCAACTCCATGTCTCCCCAAAACACACAGACCCTGAGAGCTGGAGGACCAGGAGACAGATTTGGGGTCTCTGTGTCCAAACCAGCATTGACTGCTTCAACCTCCCCCTCCTAGACTCAGAGACTCTAAGAAGATGTTGATATAATCAGCTCAAAACAACATAATGCTGAGCACTCTTGCTGTAATCTGTTTATGAATGTGTGACGTGTGTACGGTTCTGCATTTGCCCCATTGTTCATTGAATTGAGTCACCTATTGTTTCTGTTTGCTAGTCCTCCTGGAGGTTCATACATTATAGGATCAGTCTGGGGTCAGCTTTACTTCTTTATCCAATCAGTGTGGAATGTTTATCCCAATGTGTAATATTTGTTTTTATTGTTCATGTGGGGACTGCCCCTCTTTCAGAAGTGTATAAAAGCCTGTATTTCTGTTCAACAAAGAGTTCCAGTTTTGCACCTACACTAGGGTCACCTAGTCTCAGGTGCGATGCCCGGCTATAATACCTTGGTCCTGTGTCCCAGCTGCAAGGAAGCAGTTCTCTGATGGAATCACTCAATTGGGGTGCCAGGCGGTCCCACACATTTGGGGGCAAGCAGTGGCATTTGCTTCCTCCCTTCAATGCAATCCAAACTATCACTGGGATTATGGATGAAGGACAGGAAATGGCAGCTGAATTTCATTTGGGACTGCAGGAAGCTCTGGCCCAGTTTGATGGCCCTGTCTCTGCAGAAGGTGAGCTGGACTAGAAGGATATCATTGAAGAGAATGGTGGAATGAGGACCTAGAGGAGGGTCAGGCTCTCTGGGGAGAATTACTTCCAATCACAGAGCAGCGATCATGTGATCATTGAGTTCTGACCCCTAGAGGAAGCGGGGGACTGATGTTGCATTCACCGAGGTAAGTATGATTTATTAAAAAAAAAAAATAATAATAATTCCCATACTTCTCTTTTAAATATTTGTAAGAGTTTTGGGAACTTTAGTCCCTTCTACACCTCCTATTAGCGGTACCACCTTTAGGAGATTTCTCTCATCTTTCCTTATGCTTCTATCTCCTCTTTAATCTTTTTTATACCCTTACTATGACTCCTCCATCTCTACTCTCCTTCCTACCTCCACCCCCCCTGAACCACCTCTAATTAGGACACCACAAGGCCCGTAGTGAGCTTCTCCTCCCTGTCTGAACATCCCTGAGAAGAGGACACAAGACCTGAGTGAATCATGGAGGAATCATGCCCGTGTCCCGTTTTTCCAAGAGACATTTTAAGGAATCAAAGCTCCAAAAAATCTGGAATGCCAGGTAGCCACTTGCTCTCCACATTTACCACAGTTGTGCCCCTGACTCCAAATCTCAAGGAGTCAGTATTTTGATTTCAGAAGGCATAGCATGGTCCTTAACAGACATCCTTTGTGACAAAATGGGTAGATACCTCTTTGTAAAGGACCACCGAGTAACGCTGGCTAATATTGATCCCCACCCCCATCCAAAGCGGGTCATGTGGGCTTTAATAAGCTATGCCTACAGAAGTGGTCCATCAAGTCTGCCCTTTTTTTGTGTTTTCCTTGTGCTTTTGTTATTTTTTTGTCTGAGTATAGATCTATGTTTGCCCAACCATGCATGTTTGAAGCCATTTACTGTTGACTGGCTCACTACCTCTGCAGGGAGTTTATTCCAAGCATCCACTACTCTTTCAGTAAAATATTACTTTCTGAGATTAGTTTTGAACTTTCCTCCAGTTAGTTTAATGTCATGTTCCCGTGTTCTTGATTTTGGTTTCGTGTTGAAAATACCGCCCTCCTGAACCTTATTCACCACCTTGATGTGTTTAAAGGTTTCTATTTCAATAATGTTTATTTGGGTTTGATAAGTCATAAGCAGGCAATTGCCCAGCCCCCGCAGGGGCAAGCAATGACAATCATAACCGGAATAGGCATACAAAGGCAAAGGTGGCAATAGAGGTACTATAAAGTAGTCAGAAACGAACATAGCAGCAGCAATACAAAACACCTAATTCAGTTCTGGGGTAGAGGATCAGGAAAGACCACCCCATGCCGGCAGGGGGCTCCTTAGGACCGCCAACACCCCATACAGAGCCACCGTGCACAGCTCATGTAGATACAGGAGGATACGGGAGAGGAGTCCAAGTGCAGAAGAAGAAAGACTAGAGGATAGGGTAGCAGGTAAGAAGGAGCTCATACCTATAGATGAGGCAGAAGAAAAGGACAGAAAAGGAAAAATATAGGCCTGAGGGCCAGAAAGCAGGAGAGGGGAAGAAGACTAGGTCTCAAAAATAAAATAGGACTGCCTGCAAAAGTAAGCCCAAACTGGCTCAGGGAAGAGTGGGGAAGGCATACTGTACGTCAACCATGGTTCCCAGACTTTGAGAAACTTAGCTTGCAAGTCATTGCGAATACTAGACATCTGCTCACTGAGCACCAGGGTAGTCATACGAACTCTCACCCCTTGAAAGGGGACATATGGCTTTTTCCAAGCTTGTGCTATCGCTCTGAAGAAAAGGTAGGAGGTGAGCCTAGGCTGATGAGAAAACAAACCCAGTATGGGGCAATGTAATAGAGCAAACTTGGTCTCTGCATATGGTTAAGTGGAAGGGAGGCCAAATACACGGGACCAGAATCCCAACAAATTTAGGGCATATCCACCAAGTATGCAAAACATCCCCTCGCTGGCCACATTCCCGAAAGCTGCGGTCACTGTAGGATGGATTTGCATGAGCGATACAGGCAGGAATCCAGTACCAAAGGAGTAGCACCTTATAAGCCAACTCCAAGGTAGCCATGTTAAATGAGCATTTAGCCACAGAGGACCAGGTCTTGCTCCAGTCCGCTAGATCTACCTCAATTGCCAGATCCCATTCCCATTTAGTGACATAGGA